TGATGAGAATGGGGTGAGAGACAGTGTCAAAGGCCTTAAAGTCTAGAAAGACTGTTCACAGCAACACCATCGTCCAAGGATTTAGTTGCTTGGTCATAGGAGGCAATCAGGTTGATCAGGCAGGACCTGCTTTTGATGAACCCATGCTGATTGCCCCTGAGCATGATCTCCCCTGCAGGCCCCCCACAGATGTGCTCCTTAATGATTCTCTCCAAGATCTTCCCAAGCACCGAGGTGAGGCTTATGGGCCTATAGTTACTTGGGTCTTCCTTCCTCCCTTGAAAATTGGGACCACATTAGCCAGTTTCCAATCCTTCGGCACCTGGCCAGATGACCACGAATGCTCATATAGCTAAGCCAAGGGCTCCACGATGACCCCCTGCCAGCTCCCTCAACATTCTTGGGTGGAGGGCATCTGGACCTGGAGTTTTAAAAATGTCCAAGCCTTCCAGAAGATCCCTAACTACATCTGCACTGATTGAAGGCCTGACAGCTATCCCCAAGATTGTCCCTACCTCTGGTAGGAGGGATGTCCCGGTCCCTGCTCAAGAAAACAGAGGCAAAGAAACTTAAAAATATTAGCTTTCTTGTCTGGCATAGCCACAAGATTTTCCATTTGAGTCTTGCAGGGGCCCTACATTACCTGGTGCCCTCTTCTTGTTCCCAATGTACTTGAAAAAGGACTTTTTGTTGTCCTTAATCCTGGATGCTAGCCTGAGCTCCATCCCTGCCTCGGCCTTCCTAATAGCCCTCCTACACTCACGGGCAGAGGAGGAGTACTCCTCCTTGGTGCTAGCTCCTCTGTTCCACTGGTTGTACGCCCCGCTTTTAGTCCTCAGGCATTCCTGAATGCCCAAGGGGGTTTCTGAGCACTCTTACCCCCCCTTGCTTCTCTCAGGGACTGTTACCCTTTGGGCCTGGAGGATCATCCCCTTAAGGTATGACCATCTCTCATGGACTCCCATCTTGTCTATCTTCTGGGCCCTCAGTGCCTCCCCCACTAATCTCCGAAGCTCATTGAAGTTGGCCCTTCTGAAGTCAGGGGCTTTAGTCTTGTTGTAAGCCTTTGACACCCTGAGCTGGATAGTGAATTCCAGCAGGTAATGATCGCTATTGCCCAGGTGGTCAAAGACCTGCAGTCCCCTCACCAGGTCATCCCTAGTGGCCAGGACCAGGTCCAGCAAGGCATCTCCCCTAGTGGGGCTGTTCACCTCCTGGATAAGGTGAAGGTCCTGTAATACAGCCAGGAACCTATGCAAGCAGTCAGACCTGGCTGGCTGCTTCTCTCAGCAAATGTCTGGGCAGTTTAGGTCACCCATGACAATAACATCCCTTGTCCCAAGCTTGTCTCCAGGGGAGGATTCAGTCTTCTGCAACTACCTGGTGATTTATATACGTTGACTGCAAGGTTCCAAAATCATTACCTTCAAACAGGCATATTCAGTTTAGAAGATAGGAATAGCCACGTGCAGTGTTATGCGCCAACTACATAATGTTTATTATAGACATAAAGTTGCTTGTGTGACATTACCTGCTGCTTGTATTGTCCTGTGCTGTGTAATAGTGCTGTTGAGTAATCGCAGTGGCCTTTTTCAGCTGTGTTGAAGTGTTTCTGCCACTTAACTGCGTCTGGTAAATAAGGAACTGAAGCAAAGAAAGCTCTTGTTTTATTTTACTCTCTTCTGTGGAATAAACCATATTTAAGAGCACATTAACTATCCTTGTTTAATAAGTTGGGCAGGCTCTGCTGGCCTAGATAAATCTGTGCTGGGAGCATTCCTTGCATGCACTTTAGACTCTACTCCTGAAGTCCTTGAATTCATTAAGCCCTAATTAGCAATGATCATTGATTTTAAAAAAAGAAGAAAGAAAAAAAAAAGCTATAATAGATGGGTGAGTATATACTGAGCTGTAAAAGCACCTCTGGGGTTGTCCTACAATCAGCTTTTAGGAACTCAGTTTTAAAGTAATCGTGTGTGTGTGATCCTACAGGCTCACTCTGCTGCCTCATCTCTTGCTCCAGCATTTTGACATAGGCATTAGATAAATAGATTTCATAGACATTAGGGCTGAGGGGGACCTAACGAGATCCTCGGGTCCAGCCCCCTGCCCAAGGGGGAGGGAGTCAGCTGAGGTCAGATGACCCCAGCAAGGTAAGCATCCAAATGCAACTTGAATGTGTCCAGACATCATAGCTCTCAGAGCAGGGGTGTGATCATTCTATACGGGCTGCCCCTGTATGTATTGAAACTTCAAGTGTTCCTCAAGGAAGAGTGAAATGGAGAAATAGGATCAGGCTGCAAAGTCTCCAGATGCAGACTTCTCCGAAGCTTGGGCGCTTGAGGCAGGGCAGTCATTTCCATCTGTCTGTCTTGGAAAATGTGTATCAAAACAAAATTGGCTTTTTGAAGGCCCCTGGATGCGTAATAGAGCAGGGGTGAGCAGGCTTCAAATTGAACATCACCATACTTTTTGGAAGTGATTTCCTCCTTTGCTTTTAAACTTTCAGCACTCAAATTAATGGACTGTTCTTTCTGCAGCAGTACAACTAAACAGAGCCAAGTGGGATGTGTTTGTCCAAAAGCCAGCACCATACAACCTCTGTTACACTTTGGATCTCTGAGAACTGTAATAATAAATAGCAGCTTCAGTGTTTGTGATTTCATCAGTTTTTGAAGGACTTAGCAAGCAGCATTCAAATATTTTCCTCTGCATCGATGTTTTAAGGAGAGGAAGTCCATACATTTGATAGATATTTCCATACATTTGATTTACAGATGGTCTCCAGTTCACCTTAAGGGCCAGATTTTTCAGAAATGTATCCACAAAGCTACACAATCAGTAAAAGTAATGAGACCTTATTTGCCTCACTTTGAAAGCAGTGACAATGGCTGGACATGCAATGGGTGCAAATGACTGTCTGCAAATCTCAGTTGTTTGCACAACTCCAATAATTTCTGCTCCCACTTTTCTGTAGGTAGCAAAATTTTTGGCAGAAGTGTTTGGGGGGCGGCGAAGGGAAATGACATGGTTGTGGAAAAGCAAATCGCATCTTTCAAGGAGCTAATGTGTCTTGGAAAATTAATACCATCCTGCCTTCTCTCTAACTTTCAAGGAGAGAATTTTAACTAGGTGTACATGTTCATAAATGCTTACTCTTGGTAACATGCACAAATCCAGGGGAAAAGCTGCGAGATCAGAAAATGGTCTTGATGTGTGTGCGTACTGGTTAATGTTTGTACCTATGTTCTTGCCTTTCTAGGACACTCCTGCAGCAGTTGCAGAGACTTCAAGCCATGGTTGCTGGCAAAGTGTCTCGATCTTGTAAAGTAGCCAGCACACAGACAGGGACCTGTCTCATGGTGAGTGACCCAAAATTGGTGACCATGAGAGAGTAATGGTCGATTTTAGCCTTTACCAGGTCCAGGTCATATCTGCATCCTGACTCTGTTACATAATAATGCTGCAGGATTGGGGAAGTAGCAACGGGGCTCTTTTGGTAGCAGTGTCAAAGGCTGCTCATGCAGTTGTGAAATGACAATGGATGTCCTCTGCTTCTCATTTCTTCTGGGTCTAAAACCAATTACATTTATTAAAAAAAAAAGTCTGCACCTGTAAATCTGTTTCCAGCTTGTTTTTTTAACAAGAATAAAGAGTGTCAGAACGAAAGGCTTTACTTTTATGCTAGTGTTGTAGCTGGAATGGAAAATGGTAACAAGTGTCACTCTGATCCTGGGAGCTGTTGCTTCTCCTTGTGTCACTTCTGAAGCAAGATTGTGTCCTACAGCATGGGTGGGTTTGGAAGTGCCAGATACAATTTAGAAAGCATGATTTTTATATATGCATATAACTGTTTGTAGTGTATTTGAGTCATGTTTCCTAGCTTGCCAGCTTCCAGACTGTAGTCGGATGGAGCAAAATGGCAGCGCTGCAGACCTTCAAAACACAATCTATCATGAAGTCTGTCTTGTTGGAAGTTGAATTGTTGTTGTTTGTGTATCTCTAGTAAGGCACAACATATATTGCTAAAAATAGCGTGGAAATGAGTACTTAAATACAACCGTTGTGTGACTTGCCATTAATTTGCACTTATCAGTGTGCCAAGAGCGAGCGCACTTTCATTTCCTGTTCCCTTCCTTTTGCCAGGTGGTGGTGCTGTGTTTTGCAGTCATTTTTGGCAGCTTCTCTCAGAGTTATGGACCTTATCCCTCTGCCACAAAGATGGTGCTGCCAAGCCAGCATTCCACTCCAGAGTCATACACAGCCTCCATTGGTAAGTGCCAGACCCAGTCAAGACTGTAATTTTCTTTTATCACTTACCCACACCGTGCCTTCAACAGCCCCTCTGCCACTGCCAGTCCCTGTTACCCTTCTGCTCCCCAGCCAACAGTCATTCAGTAACACTGGTAAGTTTGTTGCATAGTTATCTTATCCAAGCCTTTTGGTCTACCTTCATTCATTATCTGCAAAAAGGTCATCATTGGCCATCAAGAAATTTTGCTCTCTGTCACTCCCTGTCCCACTCCTTTTGAGGATGACAAACAGGGGCTCCTACATAAAGTGTTTTTCTTTCACTTGAGAGTGCATAAAATGCTAACGTTTGGCCTGTAGTTTTTGTGAAGGGTTCATGGCTTTTCACTTGTAAAAACACAAGCATATAGAGGAGGCTGGAAAATTACCATAGTTGGGGATGCATCTGTTTGGCAAAGTCACAGCAGCACAGTGCTCTGTGTGTACTGATTTATCCTGTCAGGTAGCAAATAAATCAGCCAGAGTGGCTTTCCTTCCTACTGCAGCTAGATAGCTTCTGGTATCCATGCTAGTTTATTGTAAAATTAAGCTGGGTATCCTCATACTACCCTGCAGACTGTAGTAACGCACCTTGGATAGGTATGCTAATAGTCAAGTATATTGTGAAGAGAGAGGCTAGGGTAGGCCATAGGTCCCCAGCCTACTTAACAGTTCCATTTGTGGGCATTCTTTTTCAATGTTTACACTTTTATTTATTTATTAATTTTTTTACAGAGAAGATCAGCCTCAGTTTAGTTGCAAGGGAGCAAGTATTTACACTGTAAAAAGAAAAAAACAAAACAAAAAACCCCCTCCCTGCCAGCATTACTGGTACCAGTTGGCATCTCTGGAAGTGTCAACAGAGAGGCCTAGGAGCAAGTACGATTATGCGTTAGCTGTTTGATGCATATTTTAAAAATAACCTGTTGCTCTAAGCAGGATGGTATCCAAGCCTTCACTCCTAGAACTGGTCCCTCTAGTTCAAGAGTATTGACTGGACTTGTGGAAAAAGCCCCTTGCCCTGGGGATACCTCAAGGATATCTCTTCTCTAGGGTGGCAAGTACTCTGGGTTGCCCGGGGGGATGACATTCAGTTGAGCTAGTTCCACGCTCTCTATTTAGGTTGTCTTTTAATTCCTGAAGTGTCCAGTGCCCTTGTGTCCAGGTTGATCTGCGTCTCATTCTGCTTCTGCCTCCCTCCATGTATTTGCAGTACGATCAAGGAGTCTGCTAATTTACGAAGAGCCCCACCAGTTGGAGGAGCATTCCAATCCAGTTCCTGCAGCAGATCACAGCAGTGTCTGGGACAGGCACACAGATGCTTCCAAGTACACGGCGGTGTCACTGGAATCGGTGCCAGGGACACAGCAAGATGAAATCATGCAGTTCACAATAGCCAACGAAACGAGATTAGAGAAATCAGTGCTGCTGGGGCTTCAGCAGCACAGGTGAGTACAGAGACAGGCCCTAGATTTCTGGACCATTATTATTTCTAATACAGCAGAGCATTGAGTCTCCTGTCACAATCTGGCCCCCCTTCTGTTGGGCTCTGCACATGACATGTCTCTGTACTGAAGACATTAAGACAAAAGAAGGAGGGGAAAAGACCTGGAGAGTTGAAGCACTTTGCACAAGGTTGCCCAGTGCTTCAGTGACAGAGCAAGGAATACAGCCTAGGGTATTCCCTGCTCTCTTGACTGCTGATCCTGTGTACTGTTACGTGGGCCACACGCTGAAGAAGCAATTAGTTGTGGGATTCCTGTGAAGCTGGTTGTTGGCTGATTTGCTGTATACCCACTAAAGGTTGCTCACTTTCTCAAGACAGTGGAGGAAGCATACTGCTGCTCTGACTGCTGTTGTGTCTGTATTGTTGCTAAGAGCTCCCCACTGGATGTTTTAGCCATGATGCTGGTGTCAAAATGCTGTAGCATCTCACAGAACTTTGTATGGCCCACCTGTTTACATCTCTGTGTGGGTGCACATGTATATTCACACACAAGTGGAAGCATACATATGCTACTGGTTTTTCAGGGATAAAAACTGCAAAACAGTACCTAGGTGGGACGCATGCATTGCCTGATTGCTGAAACCTGAAGTAAATGTGCGTCATCAAAAACCTATTTTTATTGAAGGGTGGGGTTTTTTTGCTTATTCTCCCAGACAGCCAGAATATGCTTTAGAGTCCCCTTTAGTTTGCACTTTAGCTGCTGGAGAAGTCTGAGGTCAAGTCCATTTCTGGGGTGGGGGTAGAGAATTTGTTACGGGTGTGAATAACTGAGGTATAATGTCCTTTTCTCTACCGTATCTCTGAATTTCGTACCACGATCCTGCTGTTTGAGACCAGGTCCTATGCTATGGCACTTTCCTATTCTGTCAAATAAGATGGAAATGTGCTGCTTTTTATTTGGTTGTATGCCCTCTCAAGGACTAGTCTGAGACACTACCCCTACCCAACATCACTCTGGCTTAAGCCAAAATTTAAATCAACGATTGAAGAGGTGACTAATTCAGTGTTACTGAGCTTCAAGTGAAAAGTGCCTGGTAAATAGCAGGCAGCTTATTAGCATTGACCAGTTTTAGCAGGATGTATGCTGCTTTTTTATGCTTGCTTACTGATACATTTTTCTTTTTCTTCCCGCAGGGTCAGTTCAGAACTTGAGGCAAATGAAACACTGAAAATAATTGAAATTGACAGAAGAGTCAATGCCACCTCTTAAAAGAGGCCTTTTCCCCTGCTTCCTGCCCCATCTTTCCAACCAAAGTACCCCGACTTGTCACCCTCAGTGAACCAAAGGGCAAAAGAGAGGCAGTCTGCTGACTTATGAACTGGCTGGAGACACTGCAACTTCAGTCAGCAACCATTGTCCTTATTCCTCTGCTTCTCCCCTCTCTTCCCCTCCCCAACACCACACACATCTGTTTTTGCTTTTATTCCTCTCCCTGACTAAGAACACAAGGGGAAGGACTGGATTGTAAGGGCAGCTGGTGTTAACAATGTACAGGTGTTTGGTTTGTGTGTGCGCTAGTCCAGGGGGTGAAGATATTGAATAGGGGAGTAGAACAAGTGTAACCTACAGGCACCTGTGGGTGGTAGGTCACTTGGGAGAAGGAAGATGAGAGAAATAAGTGGGCATAAGATGACACTGCTCTGAATTTGGCTGCAGCTCTGTGCCCACCGGTCAGTAGCACTTGAGCTTTATGGGGGAGAAGGAGCAGAGAGATGCCACAGTCCCCATCTGAAGGCAGGAAATATTGATGCTTTTGACTTAAAAGCACAGACAGGAAAAGCTGGTATGTTGGTCATGTGAATTTCCATGCCTTTTTCCTGTTCTCCCTCTCCCCTGTATCACTTGGTAGATAAAGTTTCTCTACTGGTGCCATCCTTTTGAAGGATCCAAGTAACGATCAGTTAGTTCCTGTACCTTTTCTGCCCCTGACTACATGAAAGAATTGCACCACTTTAACACAGTTGTTTGAGAGAGTGATCTGTGCAACCCCTTCATGTGGATGCTTTGAAGTCTGTTTAAGACTAGCATATTTTTATCAGTTTGCCTCACTTGATGGAAGCTGAATTGCTGTGACGCTCTCTTAAAATGAGACATGATGGAGTTGCAAAGATTTAAGTAAATTGTTTTTTAAATGCATTAAGATGCACCAATTACATTTTCTCATGTAGGCAAAGCCTCAAATTGCTCCATGTTCTTCCTGTTCCCCTATCTTCCCAGTACTGTTGTAAATAGTATTTATTAGCTTTCCAACACTTTCTCTGGCAGCCAGGCTGAAGAGAGCCAAGCTCCACAACCTCTATGAATGCCTTTGAACATAAGAATGCAAAATTACTGCTGTTGTTGTTTTCTTGAAATAATGATTAGAAAGTACTGAGACTCCATTTTTCCTCCTTCCCTTCTGTGGGGGTGCATGGACATACAGCAGCCAGGTAGAGTAAAGACCAGGGTCAGAACAGGCCTATTGTGGTAGGCACAATGCAACCCGTAATGTGTGACAGACCTTGTCCTGAATAGCTTAGTCTATGTAGACAAGACAGGAAAAGGAGGGGGCAGAAATGGAGGGGAAGTGACTGGCCCAAAGTCAGTGGCAGCTGCAGCAATAGCAGTCAAATCTCCTGACTCCCAGTCTCGTGCCTTTTCACTCGACTATCTTGATTCTAAAGCAACTATATTGTTCCCTTTAACGTGCACTGCCTAGACTGGTCAACCCTCTCTCAACACTGGTTTTGCTTTTGTTTGGGGTTTCCTTTTCACCCTCATTCATCCTTTCAGAAACAGCCAGCTCTCCCAGTGATTGCTGCTGGGGTTTACTTTACACAGACATGCCAAATTGTGGATTTGGTCTAGAGCTCCAAATGGAACGGGTTATTTTGGCTACTTCGCAGTTGACCAACAAGATATAACTAAAAACATTAAAAACAAAACAACCTCCACCCCTACCCTTTTCCAGTATGAATAAGGGAAACCTAGACTAGCTTTTTTTTACTGTGTATGGTAAATATTTCTAATATGTAACATTTTTCCAGAAAACCCCCCCTTTTTTTTTGTATTATAGCTGCAATGCTGCCTCCTTTGCATTTCTTAGGGTTTTTGTCCTCTCTTTGCTATCCTATATTTTCCCTATGGGCCCGATCCAAAGCCCATTAAAGTTAAAGGAAAGAATCCTGTTGACTTGGGCTCCATCTGAGTCCCCAGTGGGCCATGTTTCAAACTGGTGAGTATGCAACATACATCCTAGCTCCGTTGCTAGATATTGGGATTTGTATATGCAGTTGATGCATAAAGCTTTCTCAGTTAAACCCCAGTTTTATCTGTACAGGTGCCTTTCTTCACTTTGGTGTTAACAAGACACAAATACTGTTGTAATCAACTACTAAGTAGGTTCTGTCTGATCATTGTTGGTCAGTGTTGCTTCTGAGGCATATCTGCTTTTTTTTATTAAGGGGTAAGCCATGATCATTCAGTTGGGCTTTCTAGGTAGCTCTAGTATCCACAAGCAATCAATGCACAGCTGTCCTTTCTGGAACTGTGGTTTAAGGTACCAGCATTAAAAGGAGAGAAGAAATAGTAGTGTAAATGGGGGCATGAATGAGACCCAAATGGTGGCTGAATTTTGACCACCTGAGGTCAGCAAAGTGAAGGAAAAAAACCCTTGTCAGAGACTGACTGCATTGGATGTAGGACACCCAAGGACAACTGGGAAGGCATGAGTCAGTCATTTGAGAATTCACAGAGGATCTGGTTTCCGGAGCCCTGTTCCTGCCCCAGCTCTTCTTGGCTTTGAGTGAAAATATGACTGCTTAGTATTTTGGCAAACCAGGCCCTAAATTCTTGATTCTTTGGGATTATTTTACAAATCTGTTTCTCTTATGAAATGTGGAACAGCAGGTGGAGGCTGATTTGTCTAATCTCTCTTGTGCCCATTACTCTACTTAATGAACAAGTGGGTTAGCTGCCATTAAAGGGATGCTGCTAACAGTTTATCTATCTATCTATCTGAATTCATTCTTGTTTTTAAAAACACTTATGACTATTAAGACAATTTCACAAAACCTTGTGTTCTAATCATCGTTAAAGCTGTTTGTTTCCTCTTTGCAGTTCTCTCAGATTGGGCATACTAATCTAATTTTGAGGGGTGTGACATCTTTATTTGATATTGGCCTCTGTCTGAGTTGGGCTACAGGATTAGATTGCCTGATCTGTCAGGGAAGTGCTTGCATTCCTATGACTATGAAGTAGCAGTTCTCTTTCCATACCCTCTGCATCTCAACCTTGCCTACTGTAAAGTCCCATGCCCCAAACATACCCCTCTTCCCCATAGACAGTTGAACCCATACCCTGTATCCAGTATGGGGACAAAAGTGAGAAAACGCATTCCACAGCTTTGTTGTTGGCTCAATGATTCGTGAGTGACCTCTCTGAATTCTGGTTCAGTGTAACAGCTCATTAATAGGAATTCTTTACACGCTGGGTTTGGTATGCAGTAAGAAGGAAGATCCAGGATGTAGGTAGCTTTAAGAACTTGGCTGTATTGCATGCTATCTGATCTCTCTGCCAATATACATTATAGCAATTGATAGTCTTTTGGGTGAAATTACTCCCCCTCCCCCCCTACCCACCCCTGCACAAGATGAGCTGAAGTCTTATACAGCATGTAAATCTCTACAGACTGTTTAAGTCTCTATGGACTGCTTAAGTTTTGCTTCAACCCAGAGGACCTAAGTGGTCCCCACTGGCTTACGCTGTTTTATATAGCTCTTGTGTTGACTCAGAGCTGGCTACATGGAACCTCTGTATTGAACCAGATTTTTATACACCAATAAACTTAGCTTTTCTCTTATTGCTTTCAAATGTTTCCAGAGCTGTCACATCTTTAAATCTAGGTAGTCAAGCTATGAAGGAATGTAGGGCATTACTATATATATAAAATGGAAATAAGCACAATAATGGAAATAAGCACAAAGCATGTGACTGTTCCAGTCCTATTACTAATATGTAGATAGTAGGAGGTTTTTTGCTATTTATAATTCTCTGCTATAAGATTTACTTTCACCCATATTTTTTTTATCATACAGGCTATGCTAAGATTTTACATGCTATCAGATAGCATAGCATAGCTTTTGTGTACATCATTGACACATGGCTCTGATTTGCTGATGCTGGGTATCTGGGCCTGTATCTTTTATCTGCACAAATTATTAGCATACTACAAGCCTTTTCTTAATTTTTCTATTATAAAGCTGGAATTCATTTAAGATTAAAATTTACTCCTTCCTCCTCAGCCCTTCCTTTTTATGATAACTCATATAAAAACTGACTTTTAGCCATGGACGTTGTCTAGACACATTTAGAATGTAGGTCAAGAAAATGAGTAATATTAATTTTGCTACATCAAGAGGGATCTCCACAGAGTATTTGGGCTCCAGATTTTAGCTAGTGCCAAGAGGCCATAATATATAATCCATGCATTTATGGACAAAAGTATATTTAGTATTTTTACACTTTGTGACTTAAATGTTTCATTCTCAAGCCATTAATTGGAAAGGGAATGTTTTGACTTTTGAAGGTGAAGTGGTAGGTCAGTGCTTTGACTGGAAGAAGACTGTATATTTCAGAAGTGCTACTTTATATTTGTTTAATTAGAATGTCACTTCCATAGAATTTTAGCTTTGCGTTGAAGTCTATTTACTATCCAGATGTTGAAGACAAATGACTATTAGGATTGTAGGGATACACTGGCCACACACAGTTGTATGTCTGTATGTTGATCAATACTACATAAGGATTCAGTCAGTAGACCAAAATAACACAGTTTTCTAACTACTGATAAAAACTAAAATCCAACAGATACACAATGGCCATTCAGACTGAGATTGTGGATGAGATCCAGGTTAATGTTGCCTTGATTTAGTGAAAATTCCAGAAGTAAGAGCATTTTTTCTCTCTGTATGGATATCACATGGAACCTGCATAGCCTTACTAAGGTACAGACCTGGTTTTTCTTTCTGTATTCTAAAAGAGTGCCTTGGTTCTTGCAAGAAATGCTTATCTGAGATTAAAATAATGCTTGGGCTTTGTCTTAAATTACTGCCACCGGTCTTTTCTCTGGCCTTTAGTACCCTTCTTGAAACCTGTCCCTTGTTGCATACAGGGATGGCGCCAAGGGGATACTGGATTTTCAAAATCACCTTGGATTGGGGTGGAAGGGTGGACAGCTGGAGTGACTCCAGCAACATAGATAAATTTTCATTCCTCAGTTCTCCAAGCAATGAAAAAAAATTGTGTAGGTCATCACCTCCTTTCTCACCCCCTGCCTCCTAATCTTACCTTTTTTGCCTTCCCCATCCTGTTTATGGAGAGCAGTAGATATGACTGTTTCATCTTGCTCCATTTTTCCCCATACTACGTGAGTATAACAGTTCTTTTAATCTTTAATAGCTCAGATCTGCAGGGTAAAGTGCGGTGGGGAAAATAAGGTGGGGAAGGGAAGCAAAGATGAGGGGGTTGCAATTAAAAATTCTTCTTAAAAATGTCAGTTGGCCTCTGACTTGGACCATATTGGATTCTGTTAGTGTTGCTGAAGTCACAGACTCTCTTGTTTCCTTAGCCTATATACTTCCCAATTCTGTGCACATGGTAAGTGATGTAAAGACTCTCTTTTAGGGGGTGGTTTTCTTTATATATTAAGCAGGGCTGGATAAAGGGCTAGCTTGTCCACATTCCATTGAGTTCAACAGAAAATTCCTAATTTCTGTCCGAGACCCATTCAGGTTCAACATCACAGTTTATGTCAGCATTGTTCTTATTGTCATAGCAATGCCTATCATATGTCTGAAACATGTCTTGTCAGCACCTGTAGAGTTTGGCTAAGGACAGACATTAAAAAAGCCTGAGCCTGAATTGATTCAGTCTTTGCAGGTTAGTCTAACCTGGTGAGGCTGAACTGGTTTGTAACTGGACAGACATTCTCTCTGGACTGAGGAAATTCAGGCATATGCCTGCAGTGGCTCAGGCTAGAAGCTGGGGGGGGTGGGGTGCTAGAGCAGGTCTCCCTTCCTTTTACACATTGCTGAGTTGAGGGGGGCATGGCCAGGCCCGGGCAGGACCTCTGATTAGGGAGGTCTGCCTGCACCATCCCAGGCTTTCCCCACCTGACTGTTCAAGGGGTGGGAGTGTTGTCAGACTCCAGCCTCTGGCTAGCACTCTGAGGCAAGGAGGGGTGTGTGCAGTGCATGAATCTGTTGATGATACAGAGCTTTTCAATCTCCCTCTCCCTGCTTCTTTATACTGTCAGCAGCAAACTGACAGGTGAGCAAGCCAGCAAGGGGCTGATAACAGTGATTATCAACTCATCATCAAAACACAGTACTTCTCTCCATTAGTTCAAACTCTTCTTAAACATCGTACCAGCTGACACATTGATTAGCTCCAAAAAGCCCTAAGCAAGTCACTGTTCTGTCTGCCTGTCCCAGTGAAATTGGAGAGAGACAAGCACATAGACACCTCTCAGCATTAGGAAGCATACCATGTGCCTAGGGTCTGTGGGGCTGGGGTCTGTGTTGTGGGACATGGAAGGGGGGGATTCCTGATTAAGCAGCGAGCAGTAAGGGGGGAGGTAGGGCAGGGGGAAGCCAGGCAGACCCTGCTGTATCTGCAGTCTCTACCGGAGCTTCAGCCAGGGAGCAGAGGGGAGGGGCCAGCCCTGCTGTGGAGCAGAAAGCCCTGAGCAGCCTAGAGAGCATGCCGGGATGCTGGGGGTGTCTGGTTTATCTGAAACCAGCAAGGGGTCTGGGACAGACCTTGCATAAAGTGCTTTGAGCCAAATCAGTTAAGTTTGATACTACATTCAGCCAAACTGCTTTTGGGCATTTTCAAAAGGGGTCATGTGCACTGAACATCTGTTCTGTTACAGGTTTAAACCAGTTTCTGATCACTTAAACCGGTTTATGTGTAATGTCTTTCTCTAGCCTTTGTCAGTGAAATGCCTGGCCCTGCATATAGACAGCACTGGAAAGGTGCAGGAAGATCTGCTTGGCTTTACCCTAGCTAGCCTGTGGGTGTCCCTTTCGTTCCATAGAATTATAGCCACGAACACATTTTTTTAAGGCTGTAAATTGGATGGTTTTAAGCAGTGAAGTCTGGAAATGACAATTCAAGGAACACATTTTGTCTAGATAGTCTAGTCCACGAGTTAGAATCCTCTTTTCTCAGGAAGAGTCACCCACTTAAATCACTTGTCAGGCTCAATAAGAAATAAGTTAATAGAATTGTATTTGATCCTAATAGGGCCAGGCAGTGATGCAGTATGTTTCAAGTTGTAGGTGTGTCCTAGGCTCGTTGGGATTTGGTGAATTACCTGGAGTCCTTTCTCTGAAATGGAATGCGTACCTGGCTAGAGCCAGAAAATGTTATGCAAACTAATGCCTAGCATCACACTCTAGGACCTGTGCCTTCAGCATTTGGTGAAATATCCCACGTGGGTATGCATACGTATGTGCAAATAGTGACCAAATAAATGGTTCGCAGACACGTTTTAAATAAAGTAACAGGATATTAAAATATGGCAGTTACTCTGTATGAGGCAAGAACAGAACCTACAGTGTCTTTCTCTAAACTGTATCAGTCTCTTTTTGGCTTTAGAGCCATCTATGTTCCTTTGCTAAACGTGTGTGTAACTCCATGTGTTGAATATTCCTCGTCCACCTCCCCACCCCCAAATAATTTCTCTACATGCACTGTTCATCAGAAAGTTTCCCTCCCTTACCCCTCTTCCCCCCCACCCCCAGGCATTTACATTGCAGATGTGTCTCCGTGTAAAGAACCTGTTTACCTTTAGAATCAAGCAAACAATTATTACAATGAAAAATAGATTCTGTGCTTTCATAGACATTATATGTATGTAGTTATGTAAAACTAAAGTATATTATGCTTCTCATTTCTTGCAAATAAATATTTTCCTTAGAAAAAATTAAAACTCCTCTTTCTGCCTCCCTACTTATTTTAATTTGCTCTCTTGTATGTTGAAAGTACAGGACCATGTGCTATACATCTGACTTTTTAAAAACCTGGTTATCTAATATGTCACTCAACTGAGAGAAGAGATTAAAAGCAATGATATGTGTATGTGTGTTACAGTAGCTGTCTACCTCTTTTTCTACTAAGATTGCTGAAACTGGAGAATCATTTGTTAATCACGGTGGGGGTGGAGAAGGGGGTTAGTAGCATTTCATAATATTAATAACTTTGTTATGCAATACAGCTACATAAAAACTATGTTCATTTATAGAAAGGAGGTTCCAGTAATGTTTAAGGTACCTTGACTTTGAGGGTCAAATCCTCAGCTTGTGTAAGTTGACCACAACTTAACTGGCATGCATTCAGTTCACACTTGGTGTTGGTCTGTCCTGTTTGTTCAGTGCTTTGTGATGGTGAAGGCTCCCAATCGGTGCGTATGCACTGTCTTGACATATACTGCGTTAAGTGAGTAGGTGGATGAAGACGCTCCACCTCTTGATTTAACAGGGCCATTGTAGGCCAGGGCATGTACCACATCATCCTTTTCTAAAAGAACTGAATGAAATTTGCTGGTAAGTCAGTGTACATGGGTACTATCTTTGACCTTTATTCTGCTTCCAGTAGTCCTACCCAGTTCAAATTCAACCTTTCCTGACAGAGATTATATTTACAGGAAGAATTGCCTTTTGGTGCTCCCCTTGAAAATTTTCACTATCATTTTTAAGTTACAGCTGTCTTGTTTCTGTTCTGCAGGACATGTAAGTTGTTCTAGTGTGATGGAAGGGCAAGAACATTCATTGCACATGGCCAAGTCCATGTCCTCTGTCCTCTGTCCCACTCCCCTCCCTGCGATAATGTTGGCAGTCTAGGGTATTTAGAAACTGAAGAACATCATTCAGTTATGAAGCTATCTTTGCAGAGGTTGTTTTGTCACTAGTGCAGTTTTTATTAATGCCAAGTAAGGTCAGGATCCCACTGGGCTGAGTGTGCTGTACATACCGGCATACGTTGTGCAATCTAAACAGCCAAGAGAAAGGCTAGAAGATTAGAGGTAATATTTATTCCCATTTTAGAGATGAGAAGCTGACATGACAGGTAATTGTGTCACCTATGGACACCCAACATGATACACTGTAAAGGGACCTGGTTTTTAAATGATAGGAGCTTCACACCCTGAAAATGAGAACATCTTAAACTGTGTCATGCTGGGTAACTACAATAACCAGATCTTTCTGAAAATATTCTCCAGGCTAGAGAGGTTAAGTGACCTGCCCAAGGTCATGCAAGAAGGCTGTGGCAAAAGTGAGAATAGAGCCTAGGTCTCCTGAGTCCTAATTTGTATTGGGTACTCTGCCTGATGAAATGGGAGCACAAAATCTGATTGATATGTTTCCTTCCCCCTACACTTATGTTCCATTTGCATGTAATTGTGTAGCAGAATAATTTCTTGATGAAGGATCTGTGACAGCAACTGCTCCATTGCCCCAGATTGTGAAGCACAGGGATGTTGTTGCTGCCCAGAAGCACTTCATTGAATAGCCTGGCAGCTGCAGCAGAGGATTAAGGAGCTCTTACTAAAGTAACTTTCAGTCAATTGCCAGGGCAGCAGATGTGTTATAAGATCCCAGTTAAAAGTTGGATGTAGTTCTGCCTAACTGGCTCATGCACCTGAATGGTAGTTTGGTTAGTCTTCCCTGGGAAGGGAGAAACAGGGGTTGTAGCATGTCCTTGTCGGAGTTCTTAGAATTAATTCCGTTAAGATGGGGGCCTTCACTACAGAAAGGATGTGGACAAGTTGGAGAGAGCCCAGTGGAGGGGAGCAAAAATGGTGAGGGGGCTGGGGCACATGACTTTCGAGGAAAGACCGAGGAAACTGGGCTAATTTAGTTTAAAGAAGAGGAGACTGAGAGG